TTTCCTTTTAACAATAATATCAATGCTCTGAAGAAATCATCATGAGCTGTTATCGTCGTCTTCTATTCAAGTTGTTGCATGTATTTAAATATTTAAAAATCGTTAATCAGTAAAAAATCGATTATTAAAACAATAAAGTTATTTGCACAAGATTGTCTTCATCGTCTAATTTTTAATCTATTTAAAACCACATCAAACGATAGATGGCGCTGTCAGCAAAACTGTTCCACAAACCATATTTGGTGAACGAGTATTTCTATAATAATTCTTCAGTAAAAAGATACCCATTGCTTTTCCAATAACAAAGTCTTTAGTAATCTGTATCTCGCGTTGTGCGGTATATACTGTTAGAAAAATAGGATTTCATACTACAAACATCTCAGAGAGTTGGTGATTGCTTGATTCAGTATTGTTTGAGCACGTGTCAAAGATGGACACCAGCAAAGCGAAAACACGCCATATTGTACAGGTTTCCTTCGATAAAGGCGAAAATGTAAATAGTGTGTAAGGTCCTAATACTCTCGGTTTGAAAAGGCAATTATCGAAAATATTGATAAAATTACAGAAATCGTCGAGTCCGACCGACATCTAAGTACTACTTCGATTAACCAGGAGCTAACCATTGCACAAAAAACCATTGGAAATTATTTAAATAATGCTGGATACAAAACAAGCTCGATGAATGAGTGTCACAGAGCTAAGGTAAAAACAAACCTCATGGACCGAATTTCCAAATGCAAATCGCTATTAAATCGATCCATTTCTGAAGAGTATGGTTACTTGTGATGAAGGGTGAAAGCGATCGTGATCAAAGGACTGTGAGCCGGTGCAAAGAGTGCCCAAGCCAGGATTGACAGTCAGGAAAGTTTAGCTATGGGTTTGCTGAGATTGGCAGAGAATAATCTACAATGAGCTCTTATTTCGGTCGTGTAGTGTCAACAATTGGACCGCCTAAAGCAATAGCACAGATGCGACAAGATTTGATCAAAAGAAGAGAAAATATATTCCAACAGGACAACGCCATATCGCACACATCGATATTGACTCCCTAAAAGCTACGGCAGCTTGGTTGGGATGATGTTATGCATCCATCTTATAGTTTGGAACTAGTATCAAATGATTACTTCCTCATTCTAAACTCTATTTAAAGCAAAAACAATAGATTTCTTTTAATTAGACCATTATAAAAGCAAATATATGTAGTTACATATAAGTGGGTGTTGAAATAAGTTTTAAAATTATTTTAACTTAAAATAAGTTGTGAGAAGTATCTTCAATCGGCCTCTCCTCAGCCAATTTTATCATTATCTGTAGAAGTTATGACTGTGAGCTTATATCTTGGCAGTATTACTAAGGTCAAGGATAAATTGCTGGCGTACCGAAATGATGTATTGTCGAATCTATTGCAAGTTTTAAATATGGTACGTCACTTCTACGTTGCGTGATCAGGTTTAGAGTGCTGGCCTTTAACTGTGGTGCTGGGCTTGGTAAATTCAAGGCTGAAAATAACTACTATAGTAAGATATACTTCAGAATTACTCTAATCAAAATTCGTACAGGATTTAAAGATATCTATGCTAAAGCTTTAGAAAGTCACCTGAACTTCGTAAACAAGCGGAATCTCAATCGTTCTGTTACCGTGAAGGTTTCGGCTGCATTTTATCACTTTATGCAAGAGCTAGGATTAAAATGGACTAACTAAGCATAAGCATTTCAAATATGGTAAATAACTTAAATTTGGTGTGTTATAGCTTTTTCTGAGATGTGATTTTATCACAAGACTCAACCAGATTTTGATAAAGGTTTTCCTGTCGGATTTTCAATTTTGTATTATCATTAATTTCTATTGCTTTTTTCTCGACTTTAACATAAAAAGTGCTTGAGAAAAATCTTAAAAATAGTTAACTCGTCGTATCTGCAAAAATATTGTGAATTACAATATATTTTATGTAATGTTTATACAATAAAGATGTGTGATAAAACATACATATGAAAACCAAAACGTGCATTGATTTCTACAAAGAAACATACACAGATATTTCCATATAATTACCCAAACGCAAAGGCATTCGAACGATTTGCGTTACACACGCCTGTACGTTAGCGCATTTTACTTTCATACTGCGCATGCGCAAAGGTCTCGATATTGGTCAATGGACAATAATACACACAATTACACTAAATATGCCGTTACACATACGAGTATATTAATAGCAACAAACACGTCTGAATAATAGAAATTTTTAAACAGCTTTGTAATAAAAGTAAATTCAAATGGAGAAGTCAACGGAAACAAAATAAAAGTATAAAATGTTTAACAAATGTGAACACATATTTATATTTATATAATTACACATGTTTTTATTTTAAAAATTTATTATTATTACTGTATACTATACATATTTCACTTCAATAAAAATATAAATAATAATATAATATCCTTAATTCAACTTCTTGCAGCTCTTCACATCAGTTTGCATCCTCGTGACCGTTCTGGTACTCGCTAACGGCGAGCCACCCATCGGCAAACGTCCGTTAGGCTACCCGCTGTGGGGCAGTAAGAGCGCCAAGCAAATTGTCCTCAACCGCAACAAAGCTGCACTCGCTGGCGCCAAACAACGTACGCTGGTCGTGCAAATCCGCAGCGATCAGCCCGTGCCGCTCGTGCTAAAGGGCGGACGCAATGCTCAACAGCTGCGACATGGACCGAATCATTTGCGTGGCATACGTCCCGTTAAGCTAACCGGCCCGGTTTACTTGAAATCGCCAACGCTCGGACACAAACATTTGCAGCGTAAGCCGTTGAAAATTAAATTGGCGAACGGTAAGCTGCAGCATAAGCCGGCCACCAGCTACGAAGTGCCATTCCGCTTTGAAGTGCCTGCAACAAATACGATCCAATATCCACCGTTGGGCAATGAAGTGCAGCAACTGCCGGTAAGTTTGAAATATGAAGAAGGGCGTAAATAATAGTCGAATATTATTTGCTTTGAAGTGAAAAATTTCCGAAAGCTCCGCGTTGAACTTTTCTTATAAATTCGTTTAAACCGGGACGTTCTAGTAACGCAGAATCTGAACTCGCATAAGGCCTGATTACCACAGTCCTTTTCAATCCGATTACATTTCGAAATTCATTTGTGAAATCAAAGCAAGTATTATTATTTTCAAACTTCTTTCAAATCTGTTCTCATATTTTTGCGGAAGACTACTGTTTTTGTCACAACACAAATTATCGAGGAGGAAAACAAAAACACTTAAATACTAAACAAAAAACCAAACTCAACCACAAAACCACAATCACTTCACTTACAGACGGAGACACACAGCGATTTCATCACTGAGCATGAGCATGGAAACGATCACTTTGCACCCATACACACAATACCCGCACCTAATCTCTCCTTGCCTGAAAATCATCCCCAGGAATCATATTTACCACCAAAACTACAATCACAAACCTACCATCACACCCTCACCAATCACAACAACATCGAGAATCAGTATCAGGTGACTGAAGAACATACCAATGATCAAACTATACGTGACCCACTTTCTGGCTCGCAGAAACTCTTCGCACCCGATCCAGATCCTTCATTGCCAGTCGCACAATTGCGTCCCGCCACGGAGCCGTTCAATCAACCCAGCAATGGCAAACCACTGCCGGTTGATGTGCAATCGAATTTCCTTGTACCCGCCCAGCCATTGGTGCAGATAATTGGCGCTCAAGAGGTGCCCACACCCGAAATCTATCCCATTCAATTTACACAACAAGCACAACTTCAACCAGTTGTGGGCGCCAATGTCGCTGCCGTGCATACAGCATACGATCCAACCTATCTGATCACGCAGTCCAACCAGTTGTATACGCAACATCAGCAACAGCTGTTCCAGCCCAGCGCCAGCGTCCTACACGGCGCTTATGTCAATGCCGATCTCACACAGGAAATCGCCAGTGATGGTCAAATCTTGCAGGCGGCCAAAGATCCACACCACAACATCCACCCGGTGTTGGATAGCGCACCACAATTTGCTGCACTTATCGCTGCACCGGTCTTAGGTGAGCAACACTCGGCCGGTCATTACAATTTACAGCCACAGGCGGCCGCTTTAACTGCCACATCGGCATCGCCCGAGGGTGGTTTTGTTGTGTCGAATTATTATGATAATGCTGGACCGGATAATTCTCAGCTGCTGCAAGCGTACGCTGAGGAGGAGGCGCAGCGTCTAGAAATCGAAGCGGAACAAGATAAGCAGCAATATGCCTTACAGCAGCAGCAGCAGCAGCATTTATTGGCTCTCCAACAACAGCATCAACAACTACAACAACAACACGACTTGCAGCAGCAACAGCAGTTGCATTTACAACTACAAGATCAGCAGTTGCAACAACAACTACAAGAACAACAATTACAACAACAGCTACAGGAGCAGCAACTGCATCAACAGCTACAGGACCACCAGCTACATCAACAGCAATTGCAGCAGCAGCAGCAGCAACGTCATCAACAACAACAACAACAGAGTCACCATCAACAACAGTCGCTAGATCCAGCAGCTGCCGCTTTCCACGAACACCAACGTTTAGTCCAGCAGCAACTTGGCGATGACACTCCACTGCGGATATTCGTGCCAGACGATGAAGCTGCCGGCGAAGCGGTAAGTTACGCAAATATTGAAAACTATATCTTTTAGAATTGGCGAACAATATATATCTTGTCAATTGTATTTGATTTCACAATATCTATTCCACTTTATTAGCGTCTACAAAAGCGTTCTGATATGGTTAAAAAAGGTACTGTCGAGGATGCGAGCACATCGAACAACACTACAGCCGACGACGATCTATTCGAGGTATCTTCGTCCGTTGAAGTGTCTAATGAGAACCAAAAAGATGAACAAACGACTGACAATGAGTGATTGAAGCTGCGGTGGGGCATTGCAAACTTGTTGGAGAAATAACAAAAAAAAATTTTCGAATATATGTAAAAATCATATCTATATTATAGTTTAGCATAATAAATTATTTATTTATTTTATATTTATAATTTGCATTTTTTATAAATGTTTGAAGGAAATTTAAGAAGTTGCATCCAAATAATTGCCGTAACAGCCGGTTCTACTTTACCAGAACCCATATTTAACTCAATTCACAAACCCTCCTACTTTATTTCCGTGGAGAACTGCACTTTTGTTGCAAACACGCCCTTTTTATTAGAATACAACTGAATAATAACTTCAATTATCTACAAAATATCAGCATTCCATATATAACATACAGTCTGCAACACGCGCTGCTCCTGTAGAATACCCAAATGCCGCAGCATCACAATTCGATTCTGTTGTTTTTTATCCAGCATCTTATGAACTTGTTGTGAAATATCGCCCGCCGTAATGAAATTTCGTCCTGTAATAAATTAACAATTAAATATTAGCGATTTAAGCCGGCAACTATTGTCAAATACCTGGAACATAAGTCGACTGTTGATTGTACACTTTCCACAATTCTAAATCATGTCGATTGCGCACTGTATTTCGTTGGCGATGTATTAGCTGATACTTTTTATTAAAACACGGAACTATGACATTGTCTAGAAAGTTCCGAAGTTCATCAACAGATTCCCGACCGCGCATATATCTGGAAATAGGATATGTAGATTTTAAATAACAAATGCGTAATAAATAAAAATTTAATATTTATATAACATAATAAATGCAGCTTAATTTTATTGGTGTTAGAAAGAAGTCAACTGTACAAATAGCACATTTAAATGCTCTTAAGTTCTTCCTTAAAGATATCAACGCGACCTTAAAACCAAGCTGTTTTTTTTTATACGGTACTATAATTTAGAAAGTTATGAGTATAAAAAAATGGGATTTCACTTACTTTGGTATTGACTCAAACTGTTTGGGTGTTATACGGTATTCGAAGTCTAAAAATGTGAAAGGTATTGGATTAAGATTTCTTTGTTTCACTAATGGTGATTCCTTATAACTGCTTAATGTAAGTTTAGGTGTTATAGCATTCTGTAAAAGGTAAATTGTTGAATTACGTTGTTAAGCAAAATATCATAGCACTTACAGTATGCAAATTTAGATTATCTAATCCCTTTTCTATTGCCGTTATAGGCATTCTTTCTGCAGTCCGCGGTGCGTTTGAAGCATTGAAAGCGGCCAACACTTCATTGTCTCTCTTTTGAGCTTCCTCAAACTTCCTTCGACGCTCTGCCAACACATATTCCAAAATCGCACCCTGCTGCCTTTGCATACGAATTATTAAACGACCATGTTGTTCATCCACTTTGTTAATATCTTCTTTAATAGCTTTCCTCACTTGATCCATAAGTTTCTGTAGTTCCTTGGTTTCTTTTATTAATTTGGAGGAAACATTGTGTACTTTTTCACGACGTAAACTTAGCGCTATGAAGTTTTCAATCAATGTTATTTTTTCATTGATAGCAATTTTAAATTCTTCCATTATTGTATCAATTAAATTAAATTAGTAATAAGAATTTATTCAATAAAGCGGTGAGCAGGTCAGAAATTCAATTTATCTTTCAAAAATAATAACTTAAATACATAGGGTGAATACGATGACAAAACACTTAAAGTGCTGCCACTTGGACAAATTATAACTAATAAAAGTTAATCAGGCCATTGTAATAACCATAAAATGTGTTTCTAATATTCTACAAAAACACATACGATTCGTTAAGTAATTACATTTTCACTTTTATTTTCATTAAATAATAAATGTACGGGTTTTTGTTATTCTGGTAAATACGTTCTCTGGTTTACGATCTCTCTTCGACCTCGTATGTTCACAATAGTGATAACTGCGTTGTGAACTAATTGTAGGTCAATTCCAATTTGAAAATGCCATCAGTTTTTATATGTGTCATGGCGAAAAAATAAAAAGCTATTAAATGAAATATTGTCGCTGAGTTGCACAAACTATTGTTTTAAGCTGCAATTTAAATGTGTAGATAAACTGTTTAATACCATGGATCGCACAATAATTGCTGTGCAGCGTGCAGAGGAGCGAGAACTCAGTGAAAAGTTGTACAAAAAACTGCGCGGGTTGGGTCTATTGCATCCACAAACAGATGAACTGCGAAAATGTCTTAACGAAGAAATGTTCATTAAACCAAATGCTCAAGCATTCTTTCATGTAATGCATTATTTGTTTTGTTTATTGGATCCAACTGAGTTCAAAAAGCGCTTCTATTGGCCTATCACAGATAAACGCTCAGAGGCGAATTTCCGCACAAGCACTGTTGAATACTTGAAACATATAAATGAGAAACACAAACTGCAATGGGGAGATATTAAATCATACTTAGTTGTAATGCCAGGGGGTAAGAAATTCATCATATTCCTTTTGGAATTAGTAGCATTCGTTGTGCAGGAGCAGATACGATTTCGAGAAAAACTATTGGGTGCCGATGTGGAAGCTGGACATGTAGCTGAACTAAATCTAAAGCGTATGCGAAAACAAAATTCATTTTTCAAGGATTATGCTTCAGCCTATATAAGCAATGTAGATGAACAAATAGTGCAATTACGTGAGAAAATTCAGCAGCTGGAAAAAATATTTAATACGTTGGCAAAAGAAACGGGTAGAAGTAAAAATGAACTGTGCAATGAACAATTTATTGCCCTATTTGAAAAATCAAATCGAGAAGTGTTTCAAGAGAAATTTGTCATGGGTACTAGCGTGGTTCGGAAGTTGGAAGTACCACTTACTGAATTAAAAGAATTAATAGATAAGTTTCAATTGAAAGAGGCGGAAATGAAATACGATAAAGGTCGAGTGCGGCACGCTCTTCAAAAGATTACTGACGCATTGCCGGCAGAAAATACGGAACACGCAGGTATGTTGTTTTATTGAGTGTTTTCTGTTTAAAATTTCATATATTTTATTAATTAATATTTTCAGAAGTATTTTTACATCCCAGTGTGAATGCCTTAGACGATATCAAGTTAAATGAACTCATAATTGCATTTAACCTAATCCATCCCATATTAGAAAATGCCTTCGCTGAGGTGGAACAAACTAGAACCTCTGGCGATCACGTCCAATCAGAGTTATCCGCACTCAAAACCGAATTTCAACAAATAGAAACGCAGGTTACAGGTTTCCAATTATCGCTGAATTCACAAATTAAAAAACGTACAAACCACCGTAAACAAGCACCAGGACATATTAGCGATGACTGCAACTCGCTAATGATGAAATACGTTTGCACTCCACCAATTAAGCTCGAAACGCTTGGCACTGGTCGTTTGGATAGCATGCGTTTACCACTTTTTGCTGATATACAAGCTAAACTTGCCACCGATTCATTATGTGGTAATGTTTCAGGTATTCGCTGATTTTAAATCAAATAATACTTTTTAATAAAATATATTTCACAAATTCGCAGTATTGCCCCGGTCTGCAAGAAAACAAACTATTAAAGACACTTCGATCGATTTGAATAACACAATGAACAAGTCGCGCATTATTGATTCCACACAGCTTCTCCGCACTATTCATAAGGGTAGCTTGCGTTCACAACGTCAAAAATACGAAAGTACTAGTGGTTCTAAAGCTTTACTGAGTACTAGTTGGCGGGAACGTCAAAATATCTTTCATAAGGATTTACAGTCTGAACCAATTGCTTTACCCGAGAATACAGTCCAATCTAAAAACTTAAATATAAGCGTCGACCGCTCAGCAGACCTTGCCAATAGTATTCACCATTACAGTGGACCACACGATAGTGCTTCACCCTACACACCTTTTAATTCTAACGAACGGACACGTATCGCACGCACACAATTACTCGAAGCTATAAGCAGTAGTAGTGGGAGTGGTGGAGGGACAAAAGCTAAAGTTTTGTATACGAGACGACTTTCAGCGGTGCAGAAGGTCCAAGGGGATTCTATGAATATCGCCAATATGAGCACAAGTCCTTCTGGGCGACTAGATGCACTCGTGCCGAAGCCAGGTGAATGCACTGATACGCCAAGACTCAAGTTGAACGACATCACAATGCAGGAAAATACAATTTTCTTAGACGTAAGTCAACTCCAAACACATTTTTAGTACTGCAGTTTATGTTTTATTAAAAAAGTGCTAAATATATTGCGAAATTTTTAAATTAAATATATAAGTAACCAAATAATATTCTAAAATCCACCTCTAGAGAACTGATGAACGGTTGACCGCTGTGCAAGTATTGGAGATGTCTTCCAGATGTGTGCTCGTAACAGAAAATGCAGGAAACATGAAATTAAATGGTGAAAACGATCAAAATAGGTTTAATACCCCGAAATGTGCTCAACCCAAGACTCGGCAAATGCCGATACAAATGATTGCCGATGATGATAATTTATTCGATATAAGCGATACCGTACTAAATGATGTTACAATGTAGTCAAATACTCATAAACTACTTTTTACACACAGACACATTCATACATATACATATACGAAACATGCATAGACACATTTCATTTTAATATTTTGCGGTTTGCATTTTTTATATTTCGCTTTCCACATAACTGTTTGCTAATAAACTAAGATTTGTTTTTAATATAATAGAAATTTGACTTGATTTGATTTATGAAATGCATCTCCGAAACTTCACTAATCTACATATATGTATGTATATATAGCGATTTTACTCGGTGATAAAAGCTGCCTTTTGTTTGGGTTTAAATTTGATATTCCCCAATTCTTGAACAATCGGTTTTATATGTGGACTTAAATATGGCCTGCGATTGAGTTCCATAGTGGCTTTGGATTTTTTATAATTCAGTATATTCATAGCATTTTGACGCTCAGCGTAGTACATGTCATCGTAGGGATTCACTTTATTTTCTAAAATCGTTTCTTCTGTTTTGCCATCACTTATCGTTGCCAAAGTGCTGTTTTCATTGACATTACTCTTCGAAGTTGTATTCGCTTCGTTGGTCGTTACTGGCTTTGTAGCATCATCAATGACCATTCTTTGCATAACATTGCGTAACTCCTCCCGTATGACTTCTGTATTGATTTTGAATTTTTTCGCCTGTAAGTGGCGTAATTTCGGCACCGTCTGCAAAACCGTAGAAATGCGCTCTTCCAAATTGGTAATACGTTGTTCAAGTATTTGAAAATTCTCAACGATTAACTTATTCTTGTCTGTCTCATTTAGCATTTCAACAGTGACTTCGATCTCTTGATTTTCTTCCGGCAAAGATTCTGCACTGACCGTTTGACTTTTGCTTTCGATATGCACTTTTTCACGTAGACATCGTTCTATGAGCGCGTCGATCTCTTCTTTGCGTATGAACTGATCGGTGACGCATAGTTCTTGCAAAATGTTTTGCACCTCTTCGCGCACCAAACAAGTTATCGAGAATGTGTTGTAGAAGTTTTTTTCCGAGACGCTGGTGCTCGATTGGGAGCCGTTAAAATCCATCATAGCGTTAACCACTTGTTGGGTCAGCGGAATCAAACGTTGTCGACTATTCTTTGGCGTGCGATGATCGATCGCGTTGCTACTTAAATATTCCTCTTCAACTGGCTCAGTAGGCTGATCCTCTAGCTTTTGCTGTGTAGAATGGAAACCGCTTTCCATAAACTAAAGAAATGACGCGATGATCGCTTTGCTTATTGCTCGTTTCGCTAAAGGTTTACTATTTAGTTTTCAATATTTTTTTGTCAAATGTTTTTAAACTTTTGGCACACTTAAAATTTTGCTTATGAAATATGAAGACAAATAACTTTTAATTTATAAACACACTTTCAAGAGTTAAAATTGATTTCATTTTATAATGTAAAAAGCAAAGCTACTTGTATCCTCAGCAGGGCCTTGACGGCAAAACACCAGTGTAATTCATGTTGTACTTGGCAAGTTGGGAACATATGTACATACTTTTCACATCTTTGATGGAAATTGCATGTCAATAAGGGAAGTTGAAAACAAGAAATGGTATAACGGCTAATAATAATTATCAAACTGTCAATTGGCCGTATTAAAACTCGCCATGGATGAGAAAAAAACTTAAGTAACTAATATTTGCAATACAAATCCAATATTCCAGAGATATATGTTCATATGTATGTAACTTTAATTTTTTGAGAGTTAATTCTCTTGTAAAGAATGATATGCAACAAGCCACAAATAAATTTACTTTCACCGAACCAAAAATAAATTCGGTTGTAACGGAGCTTTAATACACTTCACAAATAAAATAGCTTCTTTACAAGAACTTTATATTGATCGGTCAGTTTGTGTAGCAGCTATATGCTATAATGGTCCGATCTGAACAATTTGTTCGGAGATTGTAACATTGTTTTCCATACAAAAACTTGATTTTGATCATTCGACGGTTCCGACAAATAAGTAGCTTCGTGGGGACCAAAAAAAAAAAAACGGTTTACTTCTGGTTGTTAAAAATTTCGTAGCAAACTTGATATATCCTCTTCAGGGTATTAAGAAAAACAAGTTTAAAAACGAATAAAATACTGTACCAACAATTCAATGATCTTTATTATGAATCAACTCTTCAAAATATTAATGAAGTTATGCTATTTAAACAGTTTAACCCTTATTTGTATAAAAAAAAATAGTCAACAAAAGAAACCGAAACAATTTCCATAAATGGAAGCTGCTGCTGTCTTTTTAGTGCTTAATCTAGTAATCAACTAGTTTCTTTAGTTTCGGCGGCGCCGATATGACAATGCGGTTTCTATTACTACTGTTTGTATTGTTGCCACTGCTGGTGACAGCTTCTTGTCTGCTACTCGGCATATCGCGCTGATGTCGTTCGTTGTCCCTATCCTTTTCCCTTTCCCGAACTCTCTCTCTATCGCGCTCGCGATCACGCTCCCGATCTCTATTCCGATCCCGCTCCCTTTCCCTATCTCTATCACGATCACGATAGCTTTCACGTGAGCGTGGCTCATTTCTTGAACGTGAACGTCTGCCCCGGTCCCTATCCTTATCCCTTTCACGTTCACGGTCGCGTTCATCGTAACGTTGCGCGCGTTGATGACGCGAAGCTCGCTCACGACTAGTATCACGCTGCCAGCGTGAACGTGAAGCACTGCGGCGTCGGCGTCTCGAAGCGCTACGACGATTACGCGAACGTGAACGCGAGCGCCGTTCAGCTGCAGCTGACCGTTGCAATTGATAATAGGACTGACTGCGACTGCGCGACCGATGCAATCGCTCTTCTCGACTTTTACTACGCTGCATAGTTTTAGCCTGAATATGTGACGTTGACGAATGATATTGGTCAAGCAGCTGTGCATCTTTCTCACGATCGGCAGGGTGCGGATGACTTTGTATCGATGGTTTTTCCGTTACAGGAACAGTTGTGGGGCCGCTGCTTACCGATTTGCTGCGTCGTTGTGATGGCTGATGTGAGGATTTTGCAGCACCCGAAGCATCACTATCTGAGTCCTTACCGCTTGATGGTGTACCATAGCGATGACGTAACTCACGTTGCCTGCAATGCACATTGAATACAATAAAAATATTATTATGAATAAATAGATGAGTCAGAAACGTGGTAAAACACGTTTGCATCAAAGAATGTACCTTCGTCTTAGTTTCAGTGCCATCTCTCGCATCTCATCCTCACGTTCTTGTTGCAGTTGTCGTTCACGTTGCCATTTCTCGATTTCAGCACGTTTATCCGCTTTGTCTATATGTACACACATATAAGCACACGCACAGACGGCAATAAGTGGTGAGAAAGAAAAGTTGTATAGTAGTTAATGATATCTTCTGTGGATCAGTATTATGAATCCATCCAAAAAAAAAGTCAATTGTTTGTACAAGTTTAGTACTTACATTGCTTGTTGAGTAAATTTTGCATTTTGCGTTTCAGTCGTTCGCGCAAATTCAAACGACTGCTGCCCTGTGTCGCTGATGTAGATGATGATGGCGTCTGTAAGGAATATCCTCAAATGGTTAACAAAAGCACAACCAGTTTTCAAATTATTATATAAAAAGTACATATAAATTAAAAATTCTAGTTGAGGTCAACGTCCTTTCTTCAACAAAGACCTTTCACAAGCTAAGAATGTTGAGGAATGTCAAAAAAAAAAAAAAAAAAAAAACAAGTTCATGTTTATACAAGCAAATGGTAAAGTGGTGCATTAAGCAAGACCGAACAGAGACAAAAAAGATGTAAAGTAAAAATATATTACTGAAAAATATTTAATAATTTCAAATTTACTCGATAACACCACATGATGCCACAATGTCTGCTATCGTCTAGAAATAAAATGTCCAAACTCATCAAAGTCAATTAAAGGTCAACAATTTCATAAACTATCACGTCCATTTATATAAAATTTAGTAATTTAACACCCTATCCTTTGTCCATTGAGTTTTTATAATTTTGTTATTATTCCGGCATTTCTCGATTTTGTGTTGCAGAAAGTGATATATTTTTTGGTGGTTCTTACTGACTTTGGTTTCGGTAGCATTAGAAAAACTTGGATTGGTTTTCGCCGGAGCAGTAGTGCAAAATTTGCCTATTTGTTTACCAGTGGTTGACGTTGATGATGATGGCAAAGGGTTGGAACGTTCAGAGCTAAAACAACAAACAGAAAAGAAAGAAACATGTGAAAGTGAAATTTCAATCAAAATATTTGTATTATTATAATGATAGCTCAACTCTAAGCACCAACCATGAATTTGGGAATGTTTTTTTTTTTAATTTATTATGCAATAAGAGGAACCCAAAACGTCATATAAAAGTGAAAAAAAAACTTTGCAAAATTTTTTTCAACTTATACATAAAACCTATACAGCAGCGTAATTATAGTATATACATATGTACGTACAGACATGTATGAAAAAATCATAAATAAAATGTGGTTCAACTTTACCATAGATGCATTCCTTGTGCGCATAACTTACGTAGTATCCACATCCATGCGTTCGTCACTGTCATTTCCATCGCCGCTGATCGGTGCATTATGTTTTACGTTGTCTTTATCATCTGCGTTCGTATCTGATGCAGATTCACTGTCCAAGTCCGATGAGTCATCTCCACGTTTGCGTCCATAATAACGCTTAAGCGGTGGTGGTGGTGGTTCCACAACTTGCGGCAATAAACTCATTGCCACTACACTATCCGAAGCTGTTGTAGATGCTGTGCTTGATCCCTTAACGACCTCGACTGGTGGTGGCGGTGGCGGCGGTTCTTTAGCTGCCGCAGCTACTGCAGTGGACATGGCGCTTATACGCGTCGATAACGGATAACTAACCATAGGCATAGCTGTGGTGGCAACGGCAGCGCTTGATGTTGCGATTTCCGACGTATTAACTACGGGTTGGACAATCAATTTTCCTTTAGGTAGATTTTGTAATGTTCCCGCGCTGCTGGCATTGGAAGGTTGCGTTTTCGTGCGAGATCTTGAACGAGTGCGCGTACGCGGACGACGACGTTCCACTATCGGTGATTTTCGATATTTTGCTTTTTGTTTGTGTTTGCGCTCTGAGTGCCGGCTGCCGCTTGAAGCCGAGCGACTACTACGTCGCCTGGAGCGATGTGAACAGCTGCTTGTTGATCTATAACGTCGTTTATGTACTCCAACATGCCCACTACGTGATCGTGACCGTGATCTGGAGCACGAATCGGATCTAGTACTTGAACGTCTGGAGCGTCGTTTGCGCCTTGAACGTTCATAGGAAATGGACCGTGACCTTCTATGTCGATGACGTCTGCTACGACTTTGACTTCGTAAGCGTGAACGGGATCGTGAACGGGAATAAGGTCGTCGTCGACGTTCCCTGCTGCGTCGTTTACTTCGGCGACGGCTTCGACTTCGACTGCGTGATCGTTTTCTTGAACGGCTACGCGATCGGCTTGCTTTACTGGTTCTACCCGTAACTGTTGAACGTTTTGTACTTTCATTTAACTGTTTGAGCTTTTCCAGATTGTCCTTCACTTTTTGTGCATAAGTAATTTGTGGTGTTAACACACCTATTGCTGCTGACACGCCAGCGCAGGATTCCCCAAGATTTTGTGGAGTACGTCCAATACTGATTGAAATTTTCGAATGCGGCTGTAATTCGTCTTCTCCTCCAAAAGATGTAATGTATGTAATTTTTCCAGCATTGGGGTCAGGTGATGGTGAACGCGATTCACTCTCCTCGTCTTCTTTTTTCGCACCAGTGTCTTCTTTTGCAGCATAACTGGGCGGACTAAATGGACGACTTGCAATACGACGTTCTTTTTGTGCTCGGCGCTCCCTACGAGACTTCCGTCCACTTAATAGCATCTTTTCTTGCTCTTCTTCACGGGCAATACGTAAAGCCTCGGCTTCATCTGCATCTTTTGTTAGATAGGAATAAAAGTCATTGCTTACCATGCCATAATTACGACCACAAGCATTTAACTCATGTGCTTGTGAAGTGTCTAGTTTTGAAATGTCTATAGAAACATCCATATCCATATCTGAGTCAGACTCTGAATCAGACCCTTTTTCAGATTTGCCAGTTGTTTTTTCTTGAGTTGAAGAATGAAAAGGATGACTTCCAGATGTTGTCGATGCGATTCCCTCTTCATAAATATATCCGATGCTCACACCACTCTTTGATTGTTTCTTTTTACTGGAACTTCGTTCCATAGCTTCCAATTGAGCATTTGCACCAAATTGCTCTTCTAAGTACAGTTGATGTAGGAATTTATCTTCCGTTACGTTTAGAAAATCGTTTTGAGCCAAAATACGATATCTTTCATAATTGCATTGACGTTCCTCTACGGATGTTTCCGAACTCTCTGCTTCATTCACTTTTGGTATCGCAGGAATGTAATCTAAATGTGCACGCACATCGAACCGATCGATTAGATTATCCTGTTGGCCTTGCCAGGGCACACTACAAAATACAAATATCGAGTACATAATTATAATCTTATTTTTCTATTGTGATTAACAATAAATATTTAATATAAAAATTTAAGACAAATAAAAAACGGATATTTCCGAAATATGACTTGCATGATGGCGGCTCCATCTCCCGCGGCTGCTGTTGCTGGGTCGAGATGAATTTTACACCGACGGCCATGTACTTGAATGAACTGAGTAGGGTCCGCTTGCTGCATATGTAATAATTTAAAATTATTTTATTTTAATTGTATTATAAGTTATCACACAGGATTCTCATACACTTTCGTCACTCACAATTTTTTCGTAAAAATCCTGTCGACGCTCCGCACGTTTACGATAATCTACAATCATACCGCGTATGCGGCGTTCTTGCTTGCGAGCCTCGTGCCACATTATGTACAAGTATATGCTTTTGGAACTGTGTGATAGATGTATTCGGCGAACTTAGCACTGGTATAACATACTAGACACTATGTTACAATAATTCCGCCATCCAGCAGAATCTTTTAAAGATTAAACTCCTTTTTCGTTGAATATTTAATTTTACCTCAGATATACGACGTGAAGAACAAAATGATTTGACGTTCATTTGACATTCTTAAATTACCGCCAGCCGGCTTAGCCGGTGTTGCCGAGCAAAGTTAAGAACACGAAAAAACTGAAACGGGGAATAATTTACATATACCCTAAACGATCAAAAGTTTTATATTTTTTATATCGATTTATATACATACACATATATTCATTAACATACTTTTTGCTGCGTTTCACTAGGTTATAATTGCATAATATAAACAAAGGCCATAATTTTTACATGATTCAGTGTGAAGCGTTTTATCCTAACGATATTAAAATGTAGCGACATCTCTAAAAGGATATTAGTGCTTATTCTTCCTGTTAGTTTGTTTACATTTGTGTCAACGTCCTTTTCATTCACGCTTTACTCATCATTTTTTTAGGGTTTGTTTGTGACATCGATTTTCATAAATTTACTTCCGCAGATTTGTAATTACGTTTGTTATCCTTTGAATTTTGTTAAATATTTACATATTTTTGAAAACAATGTCAAAACAACGTTTTTATAATTTTCCGGCAATGATATCCACGGATCTTCACGAGGAAAATATACCAATATCCGTGTCTAACAATAATAATAATGATGAAAATAACGAAGACAACGAAGATGATTCTGAGTTCCTACAAGATGTTCCTTATTCATCTAGCAGCCTTGATCGAAGTTCAATAGGATCAATACCATGGGCTGACGATGCCATAAAGCAAAATCAATTAGATTGGGAGCAAGTTGAGCGTATGCTATCTAGTGAGGACACACTGCCAGTGGAACCAGATCTGCGTAACGAGATTTTAGAATGGCAGACGAAATTTCCACAGTTATTAGAACGAAAACAAGCACAGGAAATTGTAGAAAAAAAGTTTGATGCCTCAAAAGCAGATAACAGTTTAACACAAAATATTGATGATGATTTAATTTCACATTTGAGTTTGAACAGTTCTGATGATGAAGAGCGGTATGATGAGCTGGCTACACCCACTACTACAGGAGCACGACGGAACGAAATACTAGAAAGTCAGTTTTTAGGAAGGAAGAGTGCCATAAGTAAATCATATGCAGACAGGCTTTCAGCCAAAATGGCTTTATTGCGTGTGACAGCAATACCACTACGTCCAAAACATCGAAATGACTCTATTAAAGTAATACCGCAACAGACTTCAGCACATCGAGAGCACAGTGGAACATCTAGTTCATTGCGATTACGTAAAACATCAACGAGTAAGCCTGAATCGACTATGCAGTCGCCTGGACTGCTTCACGAAAATACGCATTTTGATACACAACAACAATTTCGTATGCCTCCAATTCTGAATGTACTGGAAAGTAAACGACGTTTTCGTGATTTGGCCTCGAACAAAAGTTTTGTGCAATTGACCCACGTGAAAGCACCCCACGCTAAATCCGCTGCTATAATAAGACAGCCAGAAAATAATTTATCAATTGGTCATACACCAAGGGGTACAATTTTTACGGGTCATCATCAAACTGTGTGGCAGAGACCGCTAATTGCTACCCGTGTGAGCAGTAATTTTTTTAACAATCGAAATGCCATTATATTGCCTTCCTTGCATGCAAAAGGCATCAGCGCTCAACATCAGCGTCGAAACAGTACAACATCCAGTACAGGTGCGGGTACAAGGACACAAAGTTTATCGAACTCCAATGTAGGTTCTTCAGCTAACAGCAGCGGTGATTTTAATCTACGACCACGGAATGCGGTGGACCGTGTTGTGTCACGGTGGCAGCAAATTAATGTCAATACTTCAACTTCTACAGGAACTGTTTCAACCGGTCGCTCAATCTCAGCAGCTGTTCATCATCATGTGCGTGCAGACGTCGGATTGCGAGAGCTGTATGTGCCATATGCCTATAAACATGATGGTTTTAAATAGCGATCACAGGCGTGGCGGTTTGTATAATGCGCCACGATTTTTACAACACATGAAAAACAGTGTTTCGAATGCCAGAGAATATTAATTAAAACTAAAAGTCCTACTCATAACAATTAACGGAAAATTATTCTTCTAACACACATTTTCAATTTCTTTAAGATTGAATGATAAAAATTAGTTCAAATAACTGCCAATATTTCTAATTTTCGAAACACTGTGCAACAAAAACTATACTTACATTATTTTTACAAATAAAATTTGTATTAACTCATAACTTTGCGTCGATAGAGTAAATAAGGACCTGCTTTCTTTAATAACGGACTACAAATTGCAGTGCAATTATATAAGAAGTGCCTTTTAAGCGTTAAAGTTTTGGTAACGTTTAAAGAATTGTGGTGAAAATAAATTGTATTGACTACTGTTGATAAAACTATAAAACAGCTTTTATTTAGCTTAATGTTTAGACATTTTCAGCAAATTTGGAAGTTGCTACATTATAATGAAGAAATGTGCTATTGAATTTCGATTCATAAGATTTTTTTTGCATCCGAATAATGCACTGTCTTGTTGAATTGTAGATGCCTCCTATGTCTTATGAGCTGTATGTGGTATCGCCAATGAACTTCAGTTAGGATAGTCTTCGTAAGTTAGTGTTTACTTATTTAGCGTCATTAACTGCACCACAGTGAACATCAAAAACGATTTTTCACTTTAATTTACTGCTATTTAAAGATTAGTTACAATTACAAAATTTAAATTGAAGAATTCACAAAAACAATTAAAAGTTTCTTACAAATTAAAATTATCCAGACGCAGCTTTCCATCGTTCTCTGTCAAGTATAATATATCTGATAGGCACTGTTCACTTATTAACTCCTCGACACGTTCGCACATCTACATACATATAAGGAATATATAAAAATTTCGTAAAGCGTTTTTAATCACGACTTACTCCTTTAGCTTTTAATTCGCTCAACACTTCTGGGTGCTTGAAATTTGGTCCGAAATTCACACTTACTGTGGCACTTTTATGAATAGATAGGGTGGGGTAATAAGAACCACCGTATATATCTGTAAAAGCCACTCCTTGCGATTTACCGTTTTTAAAATACTCAATTTTACTGCCTGGCAGAACTTGAAGGCCCTTTAGTGTTTCTTGTACCTTATCCTTATCTTCATAATACAAATGTGACTTAAACTTTACAAGAGGCTGGAAAAAATAATAGCATAAATATATTTTAAATTTTTAGTATATACAATATATTAACAACATACTCTGTCCTTAAATGTATTGGGTAAGTAGTTGGTGTCCGTTTCATCGGGCAAATCGATTAGAAAACCCAAAACATCACCTTCCGCATAAGCGTCACTATAGTGTTTACCATGGCTTTCATGGAATCTGGTACCTTTTCGTGAACGCCATGAATAACCGAATTTGTCATAACCGAGAGGCGCTTGCAGATTACCGTACTCTTGACCCCAGCCCAATCGCGTTGCAGCGCCCTCTGGCATTTCTTCAACAACAGCTTCAAAATACCAACGCCCACGATTTACAGCTACATTTTTGTACATACATGTGTATTTGTACAATACACAATTATTATGAATAAGCGAAAATGTCGTGGATGAGTGCATAAAATCAAAACCGAATGCTTGAAAAAAACAAGCAAATATTTTGCTTACTTACAATGTGTTGCGCGGACCATGCAGTATCCTTTCTCACCAGTAACAGCCAAACGATCTTCGGAAACTTTCAATTGCGGCGCTCGATCATGCAAAGCCAATAGGACACAGTTTGGCACTAAAGTTCTGTATAACCAGCCCGGTATTGGTTTACCAGCCCAATCAGAGCTTTCGTCGAACTCTTGCCGGAATGGAGCATGCGGATCAGGTTCAGCTAAAATGTAACGGTACCCATCCTTGTTGAAAGGATGCTCCAAAGGATAACCATGTGCTGGCAACTTCACATTCGCCGTTATATCAGAACTAGGACGACCCTTTTTTCCTGTAGGCCCCGAGTCGTTCCCGGGAAGCTTTCGTTTGTTTTGACGATTATTCTTCGTCAAAGAAGAAGCTGGGAAGAGGTGAGAGATACATATAATAGTTAATAATTAAAAATTAGTTTGACCTGAAATTTCTATACGTAATTCGACGTTCGCCAATGGAATAAGGTCATGTAGAAGCGCAATATCAGCAATGGAATGTGTGCAATTCTCGAATATTTATTAGAACGTGACCATTGAGCTTCAGTGTGGACGATATTTCTAGGTCCTTACTAACATATACAATTAATAACTCAAAAATTATACGAAAATTATGACCTTTTGAATTGTTCTACGAATTGCAAACAGTAAAAAAAAGTAAAACTAAACAACCTAATTACACAAATCCTCAAGAAAACATTTTCACAACTGGTACAGTCAACTTCATAATCGGTTAATCAATTTACCAATCAATCAATGTTTTTACGTACTTTCTTCCTCGCGATGCGGCACCGTGTTGTTGTCCATATACTCGGAAAGTTGCAACTACGTGCGCAGCAACGACAGCAGCGATAAAAACGAAGCGTCCGACCGAATCGATATAAGTACATATGTACAACACAACAGCTCTAACTACTGTAAAAAAAAAATTACATACATACACATGCACACATATGTATACAAACATGCCTCATAGCAGAACAATTGTTAGAGCGGATACCCTCAGATTCGAGAACAATGCAACATACTTCTGGCACGTAACAAACGTTCCGCTGCCGGCTCTCCACCCACTTTGATTTTTCCGACGAAAGTCGATGGTGAGCCTCGCCCCAATGTGACAAAATGCATTTGGAAACAAACAACCATCGCAGTAATCAATCTCAAGAGTACGAATACGTTCGAAGAAAACTATTTTAAAAGTTAATTGATTTAGAAATTTAATCAGCAAATAAGCTAAATATTTAGGGGAAAATAAAAGAGTGAACGCGATTGTTGGTTTGAATTAATCAGGAAAATTAAAACAAAACAACGCTCATGAACACGACGTGATGTTGATAAACATTGAAATATTGACCGAAGAAAATTTATTTTTAATATGCAAAAATTAAATCCACAATTAAACAGCAATAAAAACAATACAATAATCTAATCAGTGATGGCATGCAAAATGAGCTCATTTGGACACAAAAGAGAAAATTAGTTAAGAGAGAGTGAGAGCAAAGCACGCGAATTATGGCACAAAGCAACTGGTAGAAAAGTTTCCGCAAATTACATTTCGTGTCTTTTTTGCTATTAACAAATGCTTAAAATTATTTTAGAAATTACTCGCACTGCTCCAATCCATTCACGCACTTCTACTTACCTGTCCCGTGACCATCTTCGGATGTTCGTAGCAATCCAGCCTTACCCATGGAATCGTAGTTCGGTTTAATTTGTGCTAGATCCTGTGTGACCAAACCAAACATGGTTCCAGTTTCAGCATTTTCTTCGTAAGTGAACAAAGTATTTACCTCTTTTACCAGTGAACGTTGCACCGTGGAGTACCTTACATAGAAAAAAAATGCTTAGTATTATATTTTCTTTCTTATTGTAATTAAATATACTCACCAAGACTGAGTGACACGCCGAGGCATTGTAGTCATTGCCTCCCAATATTGTTCTATATATGGTATGATTTCTTTGTCTTTGCTAAATAAAAACTTGGTTTTGCCATCCTTCAGTGCATTTTGTTGCATATTAGCTATGGCAGTGACGCACATTTGTGGTATTGCTGCAATGATTCAATATTGAATAATGTGATATTTCTAAAACTTTGACCACACTTACTGGCTTGGCTCTTGCGAAAAATTTCAAGTCCACTTTGTGAGCAATTTTTACATACGAACATATAGTTGGAGATGAAGGGCACCAACTTGCCCAGCTGATAGCCGATACAAGACTCATGAAACCAGCGACTGCAATTGGCGCACAATAGTTCCACTATATTAAGATTACGTTCTTTGCCACTGTCAAATTAGAAAAAAATATATAAAATAATAAGATTGCGTTTATTGTTTGCAAATTTTGTTACTGTGTTTACCAGTAGCAAATGCCGGCGCTATTGGTGCCTGTAGCAGGTTTCTCCTCCCGTGTGGGTTCAGCTGCTCGTTCACTGGATGCATACTCCGAGGCTGTTTCGGACTGTGAATTGGTATCAGTTTGTATTTCATCCATTTTTCTATCGGTATATATTAACTGTCTTAAAAACAGAGCCTTACACTGATCAAAAAATGTAAAAAAAAAATTTAAAAAAGCGTCTGCAAATGTTTGCGAAAGGAGGTATGCAATTAGTGGCGAATACGAGTAGTAATTGGATAAGTATGTTCAGTCAGTATTGTACATGTTTAATTTTGTGTTGGCAAGTTAGAAGTTAATTCAGTTTTGATTTTTTGTATGAAATTTAATACTACACGTTATTAAGCCACACTATAATAAAATAAAGAATTTGAGGGCAAGCCATAATTATATTTTGTTTTCGTAAATTAGCTTATCTCATGTATACATTTAATAGATGCAATTAATGCTAATTGCACTACGGTGCATATTGTACTTTTCTGACAGAAGAGACAACACTGTTAACTATTCACAATAAAGATATTTTTCACTCCAGTGTCGATTTACTTTCTTTGTGTAGTGGATGCAAATTTCGTGGTAATTTAATTATAGTTTACATATTTTACAATTCCAGCAAAAGAAAAAGTAGGAGAAAATTCTTAAAATAAAAAGCTTGCGGTCAAAGGTTATCTATTATTTATTTGGATCTAACGTGTTGTACACTATTGATTTAAAATTAACACTTTGTCACAGTGAAAATCAATATGCTCCAGAGGAGCAAAAGAGACTCCCGGTGGGTGTTGGGGAGCAATAAGTCCACGTTACTTTTTTCTTTGTGCATTCGATGGCATATACCATATGGGAGGCGTATGTGTCTACATCAGCATAGTATTTGCTGATGTTGGATGCTTTGAATAAGCGCTATTGATTTTTTTGTGCGTCAAAGACGTGAGCAAATATAAATTTTATATAAATACTTGGGGTTAAATTTTTCCCTAATTTACATAAACTTTTGTATGTACGGTAAAATTGGGTGTTACTAAACATTTCTGAATGTGTAAGAACACTTATAAATAATTAATAAGGGTGAACATTAGTTGATGCAACACGACTGCACCAACGATACAGTATAAAATGATTCATAATCATCAAAGGAAGTTCACATTGCGGTCAAGTGCATTCTACGAAGGGATAATCATTAGTTGATTATTTAAAAACCAAGACTAAGGAATAAAGAAGTCATTGATCCACGAATCGAAATTATCATTTTTTCTTTTTAACCACTCTTGTGTACACAAATTTCCAGACAGTGTCATATACTTCAGTCATTCATATATAACATTAACTGAAAAGGTATTATATATATGAAGATACGTATGTATATAGGCATGAGCCCCCTGATGCTGTAGAAATGAAAGATAATGTTTTATAAGATTATACTAATCTAAATATTCAAAATGTCTTCCCACAGTAAGCGATAAGAGCAACAGCTAATAATGTACACCTAACGTTTATGGAGCACAATATCATTAGCTGCATCAAAGTTAATTTTTAATAATACTGAATCTTACTAATACGTTAATAAAAACATATTTGTATTTTTATAGACTTTTGAAGCCCAGGCTCAGCCCATATTATTAACGCTTCGAAAAGTGCACCACTGAGTTAGAAAAATTACTGTTTAATTACTGTCGTTGTTGAAACAACGAGATGGGGTCGTTATTCCGTAGTGAGGAGATGACTTTGTGTCAACTCTTTTTGCAAAGTGAAGCGGCCTATGCTTGCGTGTCCGAATTAGGCGAATTGGGTCTGGTACAATTCAGAGACGTAAGTCGTTATATAGTTATTACATAGAATATATGTAACATATGTATTTTATTTCTCAGCTTAATCCCGATGTGAACGTTTTTCAACGCAAGTTCGTCAACGAAGTGCGCCGCTGTGACGAGATGGAGCGTAAATTGCGTTATTTGGAAAAAGAAATCAAAAAGGATGGTATACCAATGTTGGATACGGGCGAAAGTCCCGAAGCACCTCAACCTAGAGAAATGATTGATTTGGAAGTAAATATGCTTTCAACTTATCTACTATTACAATATCTAACCTGAATTATTGTACATACGTATTAAATTTTCAGGCCACTTTTGAAAAACTGGAAAACGAGTTGCGCGAAGTTAACCAAAATGCGGAGGCATTGAAACGCAACTTCTTGGAATTAACTGAATTGAAACATATTTTGCGCAAAACACAAGTTTTCTTCGATGAGGTGAGTTGGCCAAAAATGACGTGTGCTAATACTTTTTTTTATTAATTCAATAATATTGCATAAATTATCAATTTATTGACAGTCTACTAATCTGTAGTTATTTGCTAACTTTTTTTTTGGTTTATTGTAATAAAACACAAATTGAACATATATACATATAAGCGCTAACTTTTGTACTTTTTAAATAAAAAACATTTTAAATAATACACTAATTAAACACACACTATATATGGCAATTGATATACTAATATACTTAGCAATTCAAATTATTAAATTTAAATAAATTTAAATACTTCCTTTTCCACACTCTTACTTGTAACTATATGGTTATATACGATAGTAAAACAAATTATTTGAAAAGCGCAAAATGTATTTTTGAAGCATTTCACAATTGCGCGGTTATAAACAAGCAAATAATTTGTATTCACTTGTGTGTAATCTACCTTTAAAATCCATTTTTTGTATAGTTGTGGTTACTTGTTAAAACCACTTAATATCTAAATTGTTTGACGACCACATTGCGCACAAAGAAACCTATATTTTCTCCACATACACAAAATATTAATAAATGATCGTTGTAGTTGCCACCAGCCATTTGACTAGTCAAGTTACACCTACACACATATGTATGTATGTACCCACAATGAGAAAAAACCTATTAGTATATTTATGTATACCTAAATACATATTTAAACATATATATGTAATAAACTCAATTTGTTACATACAAATAGTTGAAACCCCCACCGTATTCACAAGCCCTTACCGCAATGAAACCACAAACCAGCAGAAACACGTTGTCGCAGCATTAGTAACACTTTTTTATACAAATAATATGTGCATTTTATTTCTTTTATTGTGCGGTTTTAGAATCATTTCTGACTTTCCAAAATTTTCTGTTTTATTTTTAGTTTTTTACTATTTTGTTGCTTCGGTAATTTTAACAGTTAATATAGCTTTTATTTAATTAGTTCTCTTTTTCTTACTTTGGCGCCTCATTTAGTTAGTTTACTTTTATTTTTCTTTTTCTTGATAAATTGTAAATATGCACTATTTAATTGTAATTGGAAAAAATATTGATATAATATATTGTATATATATCTCTGTAAAGCAATTTTCTACAGTAATGTATATTTATTCAAAAAGCTTTTTGGTATACAGCTACAACGTTTTCAAAAATATTTGCACTGAAAGTTGTTAACTGTTCCACTTTTATTGCCAATCATTATTATTTTTTGCTTGTAATAAAAATAATAATTTTTGTTTTTGTTGTATGTTTAAAGTGTACAAAGTATGATTTTTCAATTTGTATTTTGATATTGTAATGTCTTGATCAATTTTGGTCTCGATTCGTATTTGTTTGATTAATGAGTTAAACAATTAAAATGGATTCAATTTTGAAATAAACGGCCTTTAAGTTTATGTTTACTAGTGTTACTTAAAACGGAGGTTGAAACAAAAAAGAATAATAATTTAATATTCAAAATTTCGATAATTTTCGCTTAGGATTTCATTTGAAGCCAATGGATTACATAAGCTGAAGCTTGTATAAAAATATTAAATTAAATGGTTTTCAATTTAATTTTATTATTTATACATATTTTTTTCGAAAATCTAGTTCATGCTTACATTTTTGTAATGGAACCTTTAAATTAATTGTGCTTTTGAATTCGTTTAGTTATCTTATGTAAATTGTGTTTATAAAAAGTTCCTTTTGCCTAATACAATATATACTCGTACACAGCTTTTTGCGCGAAAATTTAAAAGAATAATAACTTACATTCAATATTTTCTAATAAATTCGCACTTACGTGTATATTGGAACCCTCAAACGCACTGAAAACTATAATTTCACAATATGCAAGCACAGCACGTTGAAGAACTACCCTTTAAAAAGTGCATTGAACACTATTTGTTAGTATATATATATATCTGCAACTCGCACACTATATTTGTGTTTAAAAATTTATCACATAAAGTGCCTGCTTAAATTTATTTTAATTATTCCCAACTATATTCCACGCATATATTTGTGTTGTTTGTCTCACGCTAACAGCTGTTTATAAATTATTACTTTAGGTAATTTATAAAAATAGTTTTGATTTCAATTTCTGTTAAAACCATTTTTTTCCTTTTTTTGTTTGTTATTTTCCGTTAATTAATACGAAACACCTGCGTTACGTTCATACGTTTTATCTGCAAATTAAATCAACCAAATACCAATCCACACGCACACATGTATACGAAACTACTCCGCAAACGTGTTACAAACAACAACATAAACAAATTTACTCACTATCCGATACGCTATCCGCTTTGTACCCATATCAACATATCCCGACAACTATAACCCTTTTCCCTACAACAATCAATCAACAATCCCGTCAACAACAATTCCCTTGCAACGTTACGTGCGCACACAATTTTCGGTTATTTTGCGTTTGTGTATTGTAAAGACGGTGCCTACAGTTTCTTACAATACCTCCTCCTCCACTACTACTTTTAAATCACGCTGGCGCTATGGACGGAGACAGATGGCCGACAATCAGAACGAGGATGAGCAGGCGCAGCTGCTGGGGGAAGAGGCTGGCATGCGCGCTAGTCAGCCCGGACAAAATTTAAAGCTTGGGTAAATATGTGTAAAAAAAAAAAAAACAGCAAAGAAAACCAAAAACTCAATGCAACAAGAACAACGTGTTGTACAAAGTTGTTTTTAAAAGTTTTTGTTCAATATTATAATTTTCAATTTGCAAAAATTAAACTCAAAAGCGTTGTGTTAAAAGAGTTGAATATCAAAAGTGGAAACTTTATGCTGCAAATTGTTTAATGCACATTATTCACTTCACGTTAGCACGTTTGGACCTTTGCACCGCAAAATAATCTATAATTAATTTTATATTGTTTTAATTTTTTTTGTTTGTGTCTTAGATAATTGTTCTTCAATTTTTTGTTTTTTTTTTGCGTTTTGTACGCTTATTTATGGTGCTTGGTTCATTTGTTCATCTATGTTGTTTAATCCAATTTGTATTATATATGTTTGTATGCGTCGCTGTAAATACGCCCCCCTCAGGCTGATAAGTATTCGAAGATATTTTGAGCATAGTTGGAAAACGCATCTCCTAAGCCATTTCCAGCTAAGCACAAAATGTTTAGATATTCACGTGTACATATACAATGGGGTGTCCGTTATTTCCCAAGTTGATTTTTATTTAGCAACTGCAGCCCGAAGCTTCAGGCATTGCCCTACAAAAAGTACTCAACGTAAACAAACAAATTATGCATAAAATGTACTGTATTCATACAGTACACCCTGTCGTATAAGCAACACAGAATTTATAAATCATTTTTATGAATGCTTAGTACATTTCATGTATTACTTTAACTGCTCGTAACTTTTAAAATAATTAGGCAATTCACAAGCTTCGTCTTATGTCGTGACAGTCATAAAAATATGAGACAATATGACGATATGACACCTTTTGAATACCCTAAATGTTTCGTTTATTTTCACTTTTTCAAAGCTATAGATTAAAAAAATCCCTTGTTATATACATATGTACATATTGTACATGGGAAAAGAAATATGATTAAGGCAGGGTTAAAATTAAAAATAAAGAGCATATTTACGTTAGAAACTTCAGGGGGCGTTTGCAAAAAAACTATCTACTTGAGAAATAGCACACACCCTAATATACATACATACGTACACACATATGTATGTATATATGTATTTAATTATGTAAATGCTCGTATATGTAAAAATGTATGAGCGTTTGCGTGACTGTACGTGCTCGCTGATCTCCTTAATCCCTACACTTCCTCACGTTCCATGGTCGCTTCACCTAAGAATACCTCGCCCTCGTCGTTAAAAATTGTTACTCGTCGCAAACTTATTCTTCCGAAATAAATTTAATAAAATTCGTGTTACTGATAAAAATGCACATATGATTTGTTGGCATTCGCTAGAGTCGTCACAATAACATAATTCCCTCATGCGCAAATATACATACATACATGTATATTGCAAGCATCAAAGTTTACACCTGCCATGATATGTGTTTACATTGGTTACTGAGCCTCACAGCTGGTAAAGGTTCATCGAACTGCATCAATTCATAAGCCATAGTAAAGTGTATAAAGAACAATTCAACTAACAATTACTGTCTTATTGCTAACAATACTACCAATTTATTACTAAGCATTTTTTAATATTCAACTACTATCTGGTGTTGGTGATTAGGCAGTTAAGTGTCATTTGCATATGAATAAGAGTAACTTTTGTAACACATACAATTGCATCTACTTTTCCTGTCTTGGCAATGAAAAATATAGCATACAATTTGTATATTTCTTGAAATTTGTAGCAAGAGGGTGGTATCAATACCACAACTGAGTCGATGACACGCGCTTTAATCACCGACGAAGTGCGAACTGGTCATTCGATGGGTCCAGTTCAGCTTGGGTACGTATTGCTTTTATAAAAGAGAAGAAAAAACAATGTTGCCAATGGCTTATATAAAATACTAGACTGTACATACATACATTAATAATATTACGATATATACCTACAAACATACATACATGCAGTGGCTCGAAATGCAACGAGCTCAAATATTTATAATATTTATGACATTATGAAAACCTTTACAAGTAAAATCTAAAATACTTGCTATTAAATAACATTTTCGAATTAATATTCGACTTTTTATAAAAAAAAAACCATAATTTTTATATCTTAAAAATTATTTTCGAAGCTTCTAAAATTAATTTTAGCAAAAACTATATTCAATTTCCGAACTACGGTATCATTAATTTTTTTGGTATAGACATTATTTGGATTCTCGATTTTAATAATTATACCCTGAACAGGGTATATTAAGTTTGCCACGAAGTTAGTATCACCCAGAAGGAAACGTTGGAGACCCTATAAAATGTATATGTAAATGATCAGCGTGACGGGCTGAGTAGATTTAGCCACGTCCGTCTGTATATACGCATAATAATATCTCAGTTTTTGAAATATCAATCTAAAATTTATCCGAACGGTGAATATCGGACCAATATAGCATATAAAACTGTCATACAAAATTAACGATCCAAATCAAGTTATTGTCTGAAAACTGTTTTATTTGTGAATTTTAGAATTTTGAAATTCAACCGGAGTTAATGTTTTTTCTAGTTTTAGTTTTGAAATAATTTAACTTGATGCAAATTGGTCTCCAAATCGCATTTGATTTTTATGTTTAAACTTAATTGGCGTTCAGAACAAGCCTGAACTGTCAATTCATTCATTCTGAATCCAAAAAAAATTTTTCAAATCAAAATACATAAGTCTAAGCGCATATTAGAACGTCTTAAACATGACGACTGGCGAGTTGATGTGTTAAATTATTTTAACTATTTGTTGCTCTAATATAATTCTGGCCACTGCATATAAACAACAATATATTCTATGCAACAATAGGTTAACAATAAATACTAAACTAAATTTAATCGTTAAAAAAGACAATTAAAAGTTATAGTCAGAAAAGTTTTATATTTTGTCATTAGTCGCTTAATAACTAAACTTAATCTAAAGACTAACAGCTTTGGCTGCCATTCTACTTCTGCTTCCACCTGGCGTAAATGACTTGAAGTAAAAAACTATTCAAACAAAAACAAAATTTATAGTCTAAATTATTATTTTTTATTTTAACAATTGTTAGTTTTTTATTTTTTATAATCTACATATTAAATTATAAGCATCTATATTTTTCGGGTCAACGTCATTAGCGCTGGGTGAAGCGTTAACTGCATTTGCGGTTTTTATGTTTTCTTATTAATGCTGCATTGCTGCTAAGAACGATTGAAATACCCAAAGCCATAATCAAACAATTAGTTGGTATTATAATACTAAATGCTGAACATTTTGCATGATATCGATAATTCTTATGGGTTTAACTTTTCTGCAATTCAGCTTATAATATTATATATGATAGAAGAGCGATTTTTGTGGAGAACAACTTTGTTATAGAAATATTTGTTTTTTTCTTTTTACATGTGCTTTGGTATCTGCATCATAATGCAAGAACGATCGGTCCAAAAGTCATGAATTTATTGAAGATTTGACTGTTTGCAAAGTTCTAATTCCAAGTTCATGTGATATAACTTCAAGAATTCTTTTTTCTGCATTCTATTGTCTTCATATCGCACTATAATAAATTTTACAACAATTAGATTGAGCTCTTTTGTAGAAAAAAATTATTAATTTAGCTATAAATTTGCTGGAATTAAGTTTTAAAATAAAAAAATCACATAAAATTAAAAACTAAAGGGGGGGTAGGGTTAATTAGGGCAAAGCAAGTCCAATTTTTATGATTTTTCTTTTTATGAAACAGTTAAACCAATGGTACATTATAGTATGATATTTAAAAAATATTCTGTTAAATTTTCATGGAAAAATATTATAAAAGCAATGGAGCGTCTCGGAAGAAATTTGAATTGCGGTGCTTCTTAACTCGGTGCTGGATTATCTGAAATCTACATTATAACTGTAAATAATCGCTGAACAAAGCCAGATAACGCAATTTCAATTTTTCACGTTTTGGGAACACTGCGATTTTTTTTGCGAAATATCGGTTAATTTGCTATTAAAAAATGAAAAATATTAACAAATTATGTATAAAAATAGTGTTCGAAATTTCAAACGATTAGTGTGGGTTTTTATGAGGGGTACCAAAATGCTTTAACGTTTTGAAATCTGCTTTAAAACGTTCATAAAACAGGTTTAAAAATAGCCATTACTTCGTCAATTTAGCTAGGATCGACTTGAAATTTAGACACAACGTTCTTGAGATACAATATTTAAAAATAAATTTTAAAACCCTACTTCCCTTTTAAAACTCTGTTTCTAAAATCGTATTTCAGTTTTATTTCTACTGGTATTTTGAGTAAAAGTGCGAGCGGATCGTTTGATTTCATATATTTTTTGCTTTACAAAAAATAAAATGTCCTTAATTAAATAACTCAAAAGAGAAATTTTGATTATCTTTCACTTTTATTAAATCGATAAAATTATTGGAAATAAGAAAAAAAACAATGTTTTAAGGGGTCCTCTACACTTGCACCTCAAATCCGAGCGTATTTTTGAGAGATGATTCCAAAGGATCTAGAAAACATTTCAGATTTTTTTTTTTTTATTTATTTGATACATTCTTAGATGAAATATTGGAAGGTGCTTGACATTGCCACCTCCAAAAAAACATGGGCTTCATTGTTGTCACACATCGGCCATTAAAATTGTCTGTAATCAAAAAAGTAACTTTTTTTGATCATTTTTAACTTGGCTCTGTTTCTTCGAAGCCGATTTTTTACACTTTGAAAATTTTTAAAATATGCAATTTTTTTTTATAAAAAATCACTTACGTGCTCGGAAAGCGCGCAGCCGGGCGCGTCTCAGGTTCCAGAAAAACACGAAGAACAAGGCTTCCACGAAATACGTCATTCGGAGAATGCGTAGTTAGGTATAAATTCAAATAATGTAAAAAAAAACAATATATTTTTTGAAACCTCAAGTGTAGAGGACCCCTTTGATTATTGGAAATATTACAAAATTTTAAAGAATTTCATGAACAAAAAAAATATAATAAACAAAGAAAAACAATAAAACCCTCTCGCGAACCACCAATTAGGCTCTAATAAAAAAACTAACACAATACAAACAAAACAAAATTTAACAATATTCAAACAAAATGTGTAACAAATGAATAAACTCTGCAAAACTCTCTTCCATTCCATAAACACTTACATACAATTGCGCTTAAAATGCGTTTGCTTGTCTTGTAGTTACTTGGATAAGACCTATGAGCGTGAAGAATATCTACCATGGTTTGTACAAACAATTTGCAAAACAAATTAAAACGTTTATCAATCAGTCGACCAGTTGAAAAAATATGTTTTATCAATTTTTATATCCCAAAACTCATTGTTTGGTAGTGAATTGTAGACGCACGCTACACCCGAATCGTATCAAATCTACTCATAATACTCGTCTTGTTCGCCTAAATGTATACATAAATACATATATATTTACATACACACATATTACATATATACATATATTTTATTATAGCACGCAAGAATCCCATCAATATTGCCAAACGATGAACCATTTAAAATTAAGTTAACCTGTTACATTTAATTCTTGCGCATGCACAATTTATGATTTCTTTTGTTTCCATGCTTATTTTTTGTTTTTAATGTTAACTTTATTTTTTATTTTCATTCATACATGTACATATGTATTTCCCCAGCGCACCACTTAATTTTGTTCATCACATGACTGCCGGTCACATTGTTGTTTGCGGAAACGAAAAAAAAAAAAATTAACAGAAACGAGTTTCTTCGGTTCAAAAGCCCAATGCTTTAAGCATTTGTATTTGTCCATGACTAATGTTTTGAGTTTAGTTTTTGCATTTGTAAATAAACGTCATTTCCATTTGTTATATTTTTCTTTTTCTTTTTTTTACTTATAAATACTTTCACATGTCAATAATTTTAATGGAATTTGTTGTTGTTTTCTTCTGCCGACCATAAAGCTTTGTGGCTGGCGTAATTTTGCGCGAGCGATTGGCTGCCTTTGAGCGCATGCTGTGGCGCGCCTGTCGCGGTAATGTTTTTCTGCGTCAAGCCATGATTGAATCACCGCTCGAAGATCCATCGAATGTAAGTAAACCAACAACAAAGTTGTTTATATAAACAAACAATTGACGAGCAATTAATTTAACCTTTTTGTTTTTTCTAATTAACAGGGTGATCAGGTGTACAAGTCGGTGTTTATTATCTTCTTCCAAGGTGATCAGTTGAAGACACGTGTCAAGAAGATATGCGAAGGCTTTCGTGCCACATTATATCCATGCCCAGAGGCACCGGCCGATCGCCGTGAAATGGCCATGGGTGTTATGACGCGCATTGAGGATTTGAATACGGTGCTGGGGCAAACGCAAGATCATCGTCATCGTGTTTTGGTCGCCGCCGCCAAGAACCTAAAGAATTGGTTTGTGAAAGTGCGCAAAATCAAAGCCATTTATCACACGTTGAATCTCTTCAATTTGGATGTGACACAAAAGTGTCTAATCGCTGAATGCTGGGTACCGGTGCTGGACATCGAGACCATTCAATTGGCATTGCGTCGCGGCACCGAACGTTCTGGTTCTTCGGTGCCACCGATTTTGAATCGCATGCAAACTTTTGAAAATCCACCAACATACAATCGCACCAATAAGTTCACCAAAGCTTTTCAAGCGCTAATCGATGCATATGGCGTGGCTTCGTATCGGGAAATGAATCCCGCTCCGTATACGATTATAACGTTTCCCTTCTTGTTTGCTGTGATGTTTGGTGATCTCGGACATGGTACACTTATGGCTCTATTCGGTTTATGGATGATACGCAAGGAGAAGGGTTTGGCTGCACAGAAAACTACAAATGAAATTTGGAATATATTTTTCGGTGGACGTTACATAATATTCCTCATGGGCGTATTCTCTATGTATACGGGCTTAATATATAATGACATATTCTCAAAGTCGCTAAATATATTCGGTTCACATTGGCATATCAACTATAATAAGACAACTGTGCAGAATAATAAACATTTGCAATTGAATCCCGGCACTGCTGACTATGAAGGTGAACCCTATCCATTTGGTATGGATCCCATTTGGCAAGTGGCCACAGCCAACAAGATTATATTTCAAAATTCATACAAAATGAAGATATCGATTATATTCGGTGTGATTCATATGATTTTCGGCGTGTCTTTAAGTCTGCATAATCACACTTATTTCAAGAACCGAAATGCTCTGCTCTATGAATTCATACCGCAGTTGATCTTCTTGGTTATGATGTTCTTCTATTTGGCACTTTTGATGTTTATCAAATGGAATAGATTCGCTGCGACTAATCCACGTAAGTAATCAAACATTTCAATTGTTGTTTACAATAAGTTGCATAATTTAAACACTATATGTATATTTATATATTTATGTAAACCTTAATAGCCCCCTTTTCTGCCGGTTGCGCTCCTTCGATTTTGATTACGTTCATTGATATGGTTTTGGGTAACACGCCGAAACAACCGCCCGAAGGCTGCCAAACATATATGTATGCTGGCCAATCATTCTTCCAGAATTTTTTCCGTTTCGTCGCACTTTGTTGTATACCTGTAATGCTGCTCGGAAAACCACTTAAGATTATTCAACAGCGTCGACAAGCAAATGTAAGTGGAAGGCTTTTCAATCAGCAAAAAAAAGAAACTAGTAAAAATACTTGTATATGCATGTATGTATGTTATTTGTGTTGACAAGCGAATCATTCATTATCACCATTCATCGCTAATAGCGACATGCTCCTTTTTTTATACCCTGAACAGGGTATATTAAGTTTGCCACGATATATTAAGTTTGTAACACCCAACAACACGTTGGAGACCCTATAAAGTAAATATATTTGGCCATGTCCGTTGTTGTTGTTGTAGCGGCAGAAAACATTCCTGAAGTAATTTCGAGGAATGGAGCCGAGTTGACAGTCCTTGGCCGCATAAAAATTCGGATATGTTCCGGTTATTTTGACCCGACTGTTGTGGGAACGGCCATGTCCGTCTGTCTGTCTTTCTGTATATACGCGAACTAATTCCTCAGTTTTTGAGATATCGTTCTGATCATTTGTCGAAACTGCCGATATCGGACCACTTTAGCATTAGCTGTCATACAAACTGATCGATCAAGCTATCTTCACAAAATTTGGGGTGAATTATTTTCCAAGGCAGTGGTACAACCTTCAAGAAAATTATTCAGATCGGAGCACTATAGTATATAAATATGTAGCTGCCATATAAACGGAAGGATCGAAATAAAGTTCCTGTATTTAACTTTTTTATTTGTGAAGGATATTGTTGCTTCGGTGAAGTCGAAGTTAACGTTTTTTTTTTGTTTTATTGTTCGATTGTTATTACGTGCTATAATTTGACTGCGAAAATGTATATGCAGTTCGCTTAATTGCGATATGTATTGCTTACTTTTTTGAGCACGCAAATATTCAAACCAAAATTAGAGCATCTAACGGCACGTTACTAGCTGGAAACGAATTCATTTTGTTGCTAGCATCATACCTCATTTACAAATACAAAAAAATACCCGCAAAAGAAATGTTCAAATGAAATCATAATTTTCTACATTCGACTCACTTTAATCAAAATCATAGCATTCACTTTTATTGCCTTAATCACCTAGATACTTTTTAATTTCACTAATATTTATAAATTAAATTATAAAAGTGTTGTAATCTTTTAATGTCTTTATTATTTTGTACTTTTCCTCAAATTTCTGCATTTACCACAAAATCTGTACGTCTCAAACCCAAAATTAATAACAAAAAACACTAAAAAAAAATACCCAACAAATTAAATTACATACACAGGAGGAGGTTAGTTGTACGCGTAGCAAATATGTTTTAAGACTGTAATCGCCTATATTATATATGTACATATAAATATGTAATTTAAAATATGTTTGTTTTTATTTTTTTTTAACATTAACGTTTTCACTTCACTTATCATCAGCGTCAAAATCTAACTGGCGCTACAAGTGATGCAGAAGTGGGCATGACTAACGGCACTGTTGGCGGTGTTGCTGGACACGGTGGCGGCGGCGATGCTCACGAGGAAGAGGAGCTTTCAGAAATCGCTATACATCAAGGCATACATACTATTGAATTCGTTTTGGGCTCCGTATCGCATACAGCATCGTATTTACGTTTATGGGCATTGTCTTTGGCACACGCACGTAAGTGTAGAGCGCATTCGCACATGATTATCCATATTTACATATGTACATTTGTACATATACATGTGTACAATATATTATTTAATATTTTATTATTGCAGAATTGGCTGAGGTTTTATGGAATATGGTTCTATCGATTGGCTTGAAACAGGAGGGTTGGACTGGCGGTATTATGCTGACTATTGTTTTCGCCTTCTGGGCCATACTCACTGTGGGCATTTTGGTGTTGATGGAGGGCTTGTCAGCATTCTTGCATACTCTACGTCTGCACTGGTGCGTTATTGCTTAATTAACAACAATATCCATTATTAAATATTATAATGATATTTATTTTTACTTTCAGGGTGGAATTTCAAAGTAAGTTTTACAAAGGTACCGGTTACGCTTTTCAACCATTCGCCTTCGATCAAATTATTGAAAATGGCGGCGCCGCTGCAGTCGATGGTGCCGAGTAAAATCAATAAATGTTGTCGTTTGATTGAAATATGTTGAAACGTTTGGAACGACAGTGGTTGCTCCACAAGCACAGCACATGAACATTGAAGAATTTATGCACACATACATTTATAATAAAGTAATTAATTAAATATGTACTCGTATTAAGCAGTTATTGAATTTAATATGTAATATTCACCTACAACTAAACTAATTGAATTTAGTGGAATTACATATATACATAAATACTATAATCACATATACATATATAACATGTTTACTACAATCAGTAAGGCTTCTAGAATGCTTCGTAAGGCGATGTGAGGAAACGTTTGGGAATGCTTGCGAACACTTGTGCTCGCCTTTCGACTTGCAATTGAGATTATCCAATATATTACTACATATGCATATATATATATACACAGTTCTATGTTTTATGTAATAATTTTAATGTTACGAGAGTTCATAGCATGAAATAACGCTTTTAGCATTCATCGACAAACATAAAAAATGTATGTATACCAAAATGTATAAATTCAATTATGTATGTAGTTATCGGCAATTAATAATACGCATTTCTTTGTATTTTTTTTATAATAAAATATCTTTATTTTCCTAAATACAGTTTATTTATAAACTTTTTAGCAAACTACTTAATGCAATTTAAAAACATCACGTTCCTAATAATTAATATAAAAAGCATTATACAAACCTCAAAAAATAGTGTTGAAATTTGCGTTATACAAGCATACATGTATTTTGTGGTGTGGTATATCTCAGTTAATAAACACAGCTGCAGAATTCAATTAATGCTGAATCAATGTGATTTACAAAAGTTGTAACATTTTCAGTTTTTCCATTGATTTGGTAACTTGAATAACTTACACTTATCTGAATATAATTAAATAAAATGTAGAAAATGTTGTTGTTCAGAAAATATGCAAATAAATAAATATATAGAATAAAAAACAGCCCACAAGGCGAAAAACAGTATGGCATCTAATTACATAAATAACATACATACATTTTAACATTGTTCATACTATATTCGTTTTTTTGGCGTTTTGGAGTGGCTGTTTTTGGAAATTTCTTAATTGTTGAGCTCGCAGTAGTAAGTTCGGTCTGCCGGAAACGGAAATCCATTTTTATTGGCAAAGACACTCGATATGGCTTTATTACTGCTTTCATAGAGCCCTATAGAATGCAAAATATCTTTTTCCTACCAGTATTTCTTATGAAATAAGTTTTTAACTGATTTAGTTTTTTTTGGTGAAAATAGACCATAATCTTTTCTCAATATTATTTTTTTTAATTCCGCCTTTCAAATGCGTTGTGCTCATTGTGAATGAATTCGGAATTGTTATCGATTTATATAAATTTTAAATGAATTCATATTTATTTAGAAAGAGATACTTTAATAAGTAATATTCTGTTGGTAATGATAGAAAGCTTCTATACTTATGTGTGTTTAACAAAATCATGTCCTTTGTTATAGAAAAAATTATTATGGATATATATGTTTTTAAATATATGATTCAACGAAGGGATCAACATATGGGTTTCCTCCATCATTATTGTGACCTCATTGTTTTAAATGAAGAAGAGATTGAAAACAAAACAAGGAAAACGCGCGGAAAGTAATACGAATTGAGCATCATCCGCGAACAATTGAGCATATTTCTTGGTGGGACACGGCAGTACAATAATTTATATTTATATTTAATTAAACAAATTGCAATGCTTTGCAGCAAAATGTCAGTGGAAAAATCACCTTTAAGGAAAAGTCCAGAAGATTGCAGCCTTAATTCGTCTTCCTCCTCATTTCGAGGTTGCTGGGCAGAAGAGATGCAAGAGAAGGACAATATTGAGGTAAAGTTTGAAAACATTAAGTACACATTTATTATAACTTTAATATATTTGCACAAAATCAGCAACAACAGTCTTTCAACAGCAGCGGAGAAATGTCTAGCAAAAATGACAACGAAGATCTTAGGAAATCCACACATTCGGTATCGCAAGAGCGCGAAATATCTTTGGAATTCATTGATGGTGTAAATGAAGAAAAATTTGAACGGTTAGTAAAGGAGGATAAAATAAAAACGCCTTTCAAAAGGCGCTATTCACAAACTCCGAGCAACGACAGTCACTCCGACAGTCCGAATGACTCAAATAGCGATTATGGTGCCGGCGATGATGCAGGCAATTTTAAGCGCACAACTAATCAAAACAAAAATCACCAGGACATTCAGAAACGTTTACGTTATAATAGCTATGGCTCTAACACCTCTTTCAATAAAGAGAAACAAGTAGAGGACGATCCTGTTATATTAGCGCGCCGTCAGAAACAAATTGAATATGGCAAAAACACTGTAGCTTACGAACGTTACATTGAGATGGTGCCAATACGCAAGCGCACTCGCAGTCATCCTCGCACCCCAAATAAGTATGGCAAGTACAGTCGTCGCACTTTCGATGGGCTGATAAAAGTATGGCGCAAACAGTTGCATTTCTATGATCCAGAGCCTGCCGCTGGCACTGCTGGTGGTGCTGACAACGACGACGATGATTCGGATTAGTTGCTCTCCTTGCGCAAAATTGCGATTATATTAAATAAAAAGTAGTCTACGTGTTTTCATGTTTATTTTTAATAAATTTTGCTTGTTGTAAATGCTCTATTTCTGTTTGTATTAGTATATAACGAGTACTATATTGTTAAGTTCTAAGTAATATTACTTTCGGCAATGAATGTGTACAAAAATGAAAGTTATGTGAAAAAGTTTAGAGAATATTTAATAAGGGAAAATCAATTTAATTTATGCACAAAATACTTACTTTTGCGCACATATCGTTAACTATTATAGCGTATAAGGCAATACCCTTTCAAGTAGGCCTGTGGCTTCAGCTGAAACCTTAATAAAATAAAAATTACCTATAATTTATTCATATAATACATATGCGAAAATATATTATCGATTAAAACATTACAAAAGCAAAATACTATTTTATGTAGATAATTTTTGAAAGAAAAAAACTCATAGTAGAATGAAAGCCATTGGGAAAGGGAGATTAAGTAACAAAAATGAAAAAGATTATAATTTACCGCAACTGAGCTCTGGAAGAGGCAGAAGAGGGGCATGGTTGAATTTTTAAGACTTAAAAATAAACCGTTTTTAATCGATTTATATATATGGCAAAGTATATATTTCACAATTCTTCAAAATTTATGTGCACAAATTAATTAACTAAGTTTTTGATTAATTTTATTTTGTAATTTATCTTGTACAAAAAATTGTTTTCCGTCACGAAATTCGCTGTAAATTTACCTTCTTATGTCTCCAACACATTAATTTTTTTATTTAAAACTTTTTTCTCCTTATTTTTACTTAATATAAAAAAAACCCACTTAATATAAAATAAGCTTTATTTTCGGTGCAATTTATTTTCTGATGGTATACAAAATACATACATTACTATGGTAAATTTTCTCAGAAAATGCAAAACATAAAAAAAAGAAAAATTAAGCGGTTCAAAGTTTTTTTTATTTATTTTTTTAACAGTGCAAACAGTTTTATGTTGAAAACGATTTTTTCTACAGTGAAGAGTGTTGTATAATATTTGCTACTGTTAATAAGGAAAGTTGGCAGTTTAAGCGACTTGAGAAAAGTATTAATAATAAATAAAGACGTTTTCTTGTTCAATGTATTCGTATCGCTTTATTCTTGTAAAATTTACATAATACATATTTTGTGCTCATATTATTTATTATAAATATTTATGATAAAATGTGAAATGTTTTGAAAATTTGTGCTTATTACTATTTGTCGTTGTCGCTTTAGGTGTCTAACTTATTTATTAAAAATATTATTTAATATTAGTTATATTAGAATCTCTAATAATGTTCGCTTATGTCTATGGAGACAATGCAGTTTTCATATTAATTTAATTTATGGACGTTTTCGTTTTTATATTTAAATGGCAAAGTTTGTCTTTATTTAGCAGAACATAAACTGCTCTTAGTCCGAGCTTTATTAAACTCGTGCCGATTGTGTGCGTCGTGCCTGCATCACATTCACCACCGTTATCATAATCCAAAAGATTACCGTTAACCAACTGCATATGAGTGTCATGTAGAGGCATGCTCCGGTGTTGATGCGTCCATACTTGCGACGCTCATACGAAATGCTCTCCACCAAATAGTCCATGAAATCGAAAATAGCGTCACATGATAGGCGACCCTTTATGACCGGCACAATATTACCAGCCCCCTGTAGTTCTTTGAGCAAAGATTCGCTGTACTGTTTGCAAGTGACACGGAAGCCATCACTGTAGATCGCTGCATAAATTAAAGTGTAAACGGCCATAACGCAAGAAATACCGGCTGCAGGTGTCCAGTAATAAGGTGAAATGCCGTTGTGTGTCAATTCTGACTCGGCTGTTACGACAATCATATCACCGGTTCTATGTAGATACAGGAATTTTTTTTTTTTTTAATATATGTAAGTTATAACGTTTAAATGAGTATGAAATATGTGAAAGAAAGCATTGTATTACAAGTTAATATACAATAGTAGAACTTAAAAAATATTAATTTTGGCAGCCTTAGTTATCTGTATCTTGCGCTGTATAAGTGTGATCCGGTTACGCTGACTTAGTATTTTTTGAGCACTTGAAATATAATTACCAGCAAAGAGAAAATACGATCCATTTCTGAAGTGGATGGTTACTGGGAATGACAAGTGGATCGTTTACGACAAAGATCGTGGTCGAGTCGCGGTGAGCCGGCGCAAACGGTGGCCTAACCATGATTGACGGTTGGGAAGGAAAAAGTTCCGGTCAAAAGTGCGAGGAGTGCACCAGTAAACATGGGGAGATCATTGATCAGTCGAAACGAGATTTAGAGAGACATATGGTGCGTTGATTTTATCATATATGCATGTATATAATAGGAATATTAGTTATAAAATAGCATCTGGAAAATAGATGAGGATCGATCTAAGTGACGAATGCTTCAAATATAATATAAATATCTTTCAAATATTCAGTTTTCTAAATTTAAGCAGAATTAATAGACATTAGCTTAGAATAGGATTCAATAGAAATCGATCGAGGTTTGTAAAATATTTTTATTAATATTCCAATACTTCCGCTTCCAGTTTCCACTTCCTTTTATATATCTAATGGCAAAAGTAAAATTAGTTAAAGGTAGGTATTTTATCACTATTTTATCGTTAATTCAAGCAGCCAATTATAACACAAAATATTTCTTAAGAATTATTGTTCTCAATAATTTAAATTATTTTCATTAATCATGCTTAAATGCATATATGTATATACCTATGTGCATACATATGAAGGTAATGGTTCCCAACACTTAAGGCGTCAGCGAAATTTTTAACTGAGTGTGAGCTTTAAATTAAATTAAATGCAGACCTCCTCCTACACATGCAATCCTCTGTACATACTCTATACACACACGAGTCATAGTTATTAACCTTTGACAGAGTTTAAATTAATAACCAGCGATCACAAAGCTTAGCTGGTAAATCGACAGTGGAAGCTATGTATTTTGGCACACTAAATTAGAGGGTTATTCATAAACTAAGTGTGACCCAGTGAACCTCGAATATTACAATGCTTTCTTTTCTTATAATAATAATATAAAATTATTTTTAAACAAGAGTTGCAAACGTGCTTGCCTTTTTGAGGTTAAGGTAAAGTAGGTAATAACCCAATAATTCATATTTTACGGTTTTTATGTTTGATCTAAAACGAATATTTAGTTATATTCTAATCTATAAATAAATGCTATGATAGATGGCTTATCGTATGCATTCAGACATATGTGCTCATAGGAATAATCAGAGTGATTCATCGTGTGAAAAATGCTTTAAAGATAAAGCAGAAGAACTTTTTTTATATGGTTATTTAAGTTTATTCTGAATTCATGACATTTTGTATATGGAACCGATATTATTTCTTTTATTTAACGTAATGTTAAATAACAGAAAGCTTTCGACTGAGAATAAAAATATTGATAAAAACCTTTATATGTTTTGAGACATATAACTTTATATTTTTGCTGGTATAAGGGTCCTCTATAAGCCTCAGTCAGAGACATTATCACATCAAGAAAATTAAGGTCGGAGGTAAGCAATTTCTCATGGCGGAGAACCTCGTCGATCCTTACTGGAGCAGTCTCATTGACGTTATTCAATATCTTTATGGTGAAGCGAGTTCTTGTCATACAAATTGTTTGCTTCAGTCAGTAACAAAACAGCTGCCTTGAGCTAGAAGAGGATGTATCGAAAATCTTTTCGTAGAAAATAATATAGACCAATTATTGTAGAAAAACAAATATTTTGATGTATGTGGACATTGTGCCAAAGAAAATAAAGATATATCGGTTAAAATAGCGAAGGACTTTATATGCTGTTTAAATAAGAAAAAAAGCTAACTTTGCTTACACCGAAGCTGAAATACCCTTCACAAATAAAAAGTTTTCTATACAAGAATCCATTGATTTTGATCCGAACCATTGATTCGGAGATTGCATCGTTGCTTTGAAAAATAAAGCATGTCAAATTTTGTCAAATAAAAAAATTTTCAGACATTTGAAAATTGAGATTGATATCTCAAAAACTGAAGAACTAGTTCCCGTATATACAGACAGATGGACAAACGGACATGGCTAAATCGACTCAGTTCGCCATGCGGATCATTTATGTTTATATATACTTTATAGGGTCTCCGACGTTTCCCCCTGTGTGTTACAAACTTCCTTACTTAATACCTATATCCTGTTCAGGGTACAATTAGAGCTATTTCTATCTGGTGGTTATAATTTACTATAGAAGTAGTAATAGTTTGCTTCATAGAAATGTTAAGTTTAAAAATCTAAGTAATCCAATAAAATGGGATCCTATAACACCTTAGTGATTTAACATTGGCTACTATAAATAATAACTCAATTTTGATTTCTGAATACGTAACAGTTGGGCACATATTTAGCATAGCAAATAGAAGTTAAATTATATTAGAGTTAGTCAATACAATTTCGAATCGAACTCAATTTACCTATGCCGAATGGTGGTTGTGCCCGCCTTCCGTTTAGTTGTGCCCATACAAATCCTATATGCATGATAGATGCCCAACACGATGGCGAATAACAGTGGAAAGATCAGTCCGTATGTGGCGAAATGGCAATATGCTATATGACCGCCCTCGAAGCTAGAGTATGTGGAGCGTCCGTGCAGAATGCAGCCACAATTCGATTCCGGACAAGCATTCAACACATAACGCCAATGTGCCCATGCAACGCCCGATGTGATGCAGCAAATGACGGAGGTGCCTATAATGAGCGGGTACAAATAGGCAAGCGTCTTCTCAGCGCCGTACGACATGTTAATTTCTACAGATACGCGCTTTTCCGAATATTAGACGAAAGTTTTCTCTTATAAAATCACTGTTTTAGTTAATTTGTTCTATAACCACTGTCTTTTTTCGCTAAAACGCAAAGAAAATAAAAATTATATATTGCTTTTGGCAGCTAAATTGGGAGAGAAGAAGCCAAGTAACGCTACTCATTCACTATAACTTGTTGTTTTTTGTAGTCTATGGGCTGATAAGGCCAATTGATGCGCCTTAAGCTTGCGCACCTGTGTAGGTGAGCGAGAGAGTGCAGTTGTCTAACTCGCAGCTGTATCTATGAATGTGTATGAGCGCGTAAGTGTAGGTGAGCAGTTCGGCAGGTGAGATAGAAGAGGTGCCATATTTTCTATAGATAATGTTTAATGCATGTCAAATTTTATCAGAGAGCAGTGGATTCAGAAAGATCAATAAAAATGTTTAAAATAAACTATCACCACTTAATTTTTCAAAATCAAACAATTATCAACACCGTTTAACGCAAGTTTTTGAAAGAACATAATATTTGAATTATGTTTATAAATTAAATAATATAAAATTTCTTCGAAGTTTCTTTTGAGGTGGCAACAATTGTAGGTGCCATACTCATTGAGTCACTGTCTATCGTACGTTTGACTGTAGTGGTGTATCTGTGTGAATGGTTCTACCACAACACCTGAGTGTGAGGTGAATGCATTATTGCTAGCCACTGCACTCTTAGATCATAAAAAAGAAAACTCTAAAAAACTGCATTCAAGCTCTGCGTTCACCTTTCGAGTTTTATCTAAAAAAAAAAATCGAATCTTTTACACTTCGCACAAATAATTCGAAATAAAATAATTCGTAAGTTAGTATACCGCGTCAGCGTAATAAACCTTCAACAACTTTGGCGCACTCAGAAAGACTGGGCTCACTGTTGTGACTTGTTTGTCAACATATTAGCTAAAGAGCAGCCACTCTCAGCACACTTGAAGCGGTGGTTTCGATAAAGAGCGCGCAAGAGTACTCTAGAAGCGCATTGGGTCTTGTGTCTACTGCTCAATTTGAGGCGTCACTACTTTGGCTATGTTGCAATTGTCATGGTATTGTAGTTGGCGGTTTATTAGTAAACAAATGGCATACAGCAGCGTCTT